CGCTTGTCTACTTCCGGAGGGGAATTGAGAGGTTGTAAAAGAGTATCCCCTAAAATTGTACATTCTGACTTACTTTGTGGTTGTTTCGTAGTCTTCGATAAAGTCTTCATACAAAGTGGGGCAACTTAAAAAGTCATTTCACACCAAACAGGTCGTTGTGAATGGAATCGAACAGTTGCCGTCTGAGCTATGCAGTTGGACAACAATAAAACTCTTTCTTTTTCAGGTGTTTTAAGCAGAAATCAATTTTTAATGGCGTGGGCGGGCGGGCGGGCGGGGAAGTAATAACCGTCCACACACTTCCATAAACTTACACCTACTTACCATAATAAATTGAATATTTATTGTGCGTGGGTTGATTTTAAAAAAATATATTTTTTAAAATCTGCGTGCATCTTTCTTCAAGTAACACAGTGTTATTCTCTTAGACATTGACTCTGTATACCTCCACCTTTATGAGTTATTTACCTATTGAAATTAATACTCTGGAGGTTTATGATTGACTTGAACTGAAATTAGTATTTATTAAGACAAGAATAGAGAGTGAACTAGTAATACTTGTCTCTTCTGCACCAACTCTACACGAATGCAATCAGTGTATTTGTTTCCGTAGTATATAATGATGAAAATAATATGAAGTTTTTGGCATGCAGAATTTCCAAGTATTGACAGAAGTTAGAATTCATGGACTGGCCATTGGATCGGGTCTCAGTGGCCTAATGGTCTACGATCTCGCTAGCCTTATAACCAAAAGTTCCTGGGTTCGAACCGTGGTGGTGGGTGGGTACTGCTGAGGAGTCCCAGGCACTAGGATGAAACAGCTGTGCATTATTCCCCGCAGGTTTTCCAATGATTCTCCAACTGATGTCAGTCAGCTCATAATGAAATCCTCCAAGCATGCAGTATTTGTCCAGGAGCAAAAATCAGTCGATGAAATTAACTGATTAATTAAGTTTTAGGTCGAAATGACTTTAGGAATGGACACCAGTTGAGACTCACGCATAGCCGTGTAGTGACACTCATATAATTGTCTTCAGTGCGCAAGTTAAGGATTTGACTGTGGAAATGTGTGGCTCATTGGTTTTCAACCGATGTGAGTTACAGGTTCGAGTCCGATTCCACTTGTTTCAGCTTAGGCTACCGACTGACTACTGGGTAGTGTTTGCAGGCCTGACATGTGGTTCATGGAAGATCTGTACTACATAACTGAGTTCGAACAATGATTAGGTTATAGAGGAACTTGCCTACATTGATTAACATACAGTAATAATCGATCAGGTTCTTGACTGTTATTCAGAGTCTTGTAGAAAAGCTCAGACTGTGTGTGTTTGTGTATGTGTTAACAAAACAGGTAATTTAGTGGTGTTCACGCTTTAATTCATGAATACTCCCCATCTAAGCATTTATAAAAAATCAATACCAGTAGTTTAGATAAGACAGTCTATTCAGTTATTTCACTTGCTCTAGCTGTTGAAAATCATACTTTCTTCATATTTTTCTTACTCAAAAATGGAGATGATGACGAAAGAGAATAATTATCATCCATGAACATAGGTATTAAGATTAAATCACCGAAACAGCTCATTGAGTCATGAAGATAATAAAAGACAGTTCAGTGAAGAAAAATTTCTTTATCGACGAAATCATCTTCACAGACTGTACAGTCCTATTTACATTCACCAAAAATGTATAGTAGTCCGTTACTGAGTACTAGGAGGGTGACATAACTGATGCAATTACTCATCAGTGGCTTCGAAAGTAAAAATGATAAAGGTTATAAATGACGTAATAGTCAAAGGCACAAAGGAAGGAAGCATTAGAAATTTGCTAATGTTAAAATTGTTATTAGGTGATAAGAAAGGTAGTTGATTGTCTAGTTATATTGGCCGCACAAAGCGCACACTTTCCAAACGCATCTCTGAACATTATCCGACATGGTTAGTAAAAGGACGATTGAAGACAGTTACTAACTTAAGTCTCGAGCACTTGGTGAATTCAAACCACGCGGCTCCACCAGAGTCACCTTTCAAGATTATCCACAAAGTAAGGCCAAATTGTACAAAGGGGGGTGTCAGGTTTCGGCATTTGTGTATGGCGGAAACGCTGGCAATTCCTCAATACAACCGCGAACTCTGTATGCAGAATAGGTTTGTCCTGTCTCTTATTCTACCATGGTCCCAACCTCGTCACTGGTCGTTCCCTGTAAATTTTTAATTTTTGGTGACTGCTTTGCTTTTACTTTAATAATTAATTTACTATTATCACTTTCACATGTTCCTTGTGTACGTTTTCTCAACCTCTTCACACTTTTTAAATGGACATTCAACTACCTTTCTTGTCACCCAATAACAATTTTAACCTTATCAAATTTCTAACCCTTTCTTCCTTCGTGCCGTTGAGCACTATACGTAATTTGCAACTTTTATTTTTACTTTTGAAGCCACTTCTGAGTAATTATGTCGATTATGTCACTCCCCCCCACCCCAATTACTCAATAATGGACTACTATACATTTTTGGTAAATATAAATAGGACTTTACAGCATGTGAAAATGATTTTTTCGATAAAGAAATTTTTCTACGCTGAATTTTCCTTTGTTAAGATCAATTTATACATCTTAGGAGTTGAATAGGAATGACAGTTACACAATGAAATGAATTATTTAATGAGTGAGTTGTAATCAGGGTGAACGTAAGAAACTAAGGGAATGCGATATTACGTAAGCATTCGGTAGAATAGATGCATGGGAAACATCAGGGTAGTAAAAATAGTTGAAGAATCCTCTTTTGTATGCATACCTCTAGTATTACTATCTTGAGTGTCAGCAATGGAAAGGAAATAAATCCTCTTTGTCTTCTGCAGGTCTCTCTTCAGTTACTAGATCAATTAGAAGGAGGATTTGGTTCAATTTTAATGGTCAGTGTCGACGGGGTATTCAACTGTTTCACTCGGGAGGGGATTTTCCTCAAAGAAGTGAATGGGCAAATGCAAATAACTGGGGCTTGTCACCTGACCGATAGTGGACATAGAAGTTCACCTAAGATAGCTGGAAAACCGTGATCCTAAACTTATGGGTCCCGCGCGGTCTAGCGTTTAGGATTCCTTGCTTTCGCCCAGATAGCCCGGGTTCGACTCCCAGCGCGGTAGCGCTTCTGTGCGTCGGTGGCACAGTGGTTAGGACGCTTGCCGACCATGCACATGGTCCGTGATTTGATCCCCGGCCACCGACGCACTCCTTCATCTCGGTAAGCCAGAAATAAAAGCTGGTAAAGAGGAAAGGTTGGGCATGAAGCTGGCTAGCAACCCCATCCTGTAAAAAATAAACACTGCTACAGAAGCTTGAAGACCTATGTTTCACTGGGAACGTGAAGGAATAAAAAAATAAAATAAAAAAAAACTTGTGGGTGCATACGGGCATCAAAATACAAAAGAACTAAATGGCACACGAATCTGTTCTGATCACCGACAACTATTGGAGCTAAGCTCCTGACGATACTTATCCTCTGCCTTGTGCATTAGACTTCAAGTCATTGGCATTTCCATCCAGTTGGTAATAAGCTATACGTTTAATGTATTATGTTTAGTGATACTACCCTTGGTTGTACAAACCTCTCTAGGTGGAGCGGGTTTTCATCACTTTGTTTTCCAGTAATTGTTAATCAAGGGGAGCACCTAAACCTATGGGCTACAGTTCCGCAACTGCTTTGTTCTTTCACACTTTCTTTTTTACAAGGAACTAAACGCACGTATAGGATTTTGTTTTAGTTAGTGATTTCTATGCATAAGAGTTATGTGGCGTAGGACTGAGATTAAGATCACTTAGTTGGGTTACGTCAGCCCCTTGGGTGCAACGTGGATGGAAAACACCGAGTCAGACGTGTTTCCAAGGGTGACATGGAGGAGGTCGTGTGAAGAGGAAATGAATGCTTACAGGCAATCGCGAATCCAAATAAAGAGGACTTGAAGGGAACGAGATGAACTGAAGATGTACCACTGGAACTCTATGTTTCACTCGGAACTCAAAGGAATGATAAAAATAAGCATGATTGTGAGATATCATGAGCAGAAATCAACTAGAAAAACAATTAAAAGTGAGAAAAAACACTAAAAAAGTTGTTTCGTCGTAGTTTTGGACACTTCAGCAGAACAATTCCAATACCCTTGAAGTGAACTAAAGAAATGTTTGAAACAGAAAGAGTATTCGTGTTGCATAACTTCAGAGTTCAGAGATTAACTGCTTCAAGTTGGTCATGCATACATATGGTCTTTTGGGAGTAACTTTTTCGGAGTTGTGTCCACATAAATTTGTTACCATCGACTACAGACTACCGAAGGATAAGTGGGGATGCAGAAAGTTTTGGAGTCTACATTTTTTTAATCTCCCACCTCCTTCAGGGTGGGCAGACAGCATATAGCTGACTCGCTAGTCGCTTGAGGGAAATATCTTACTGCTGTTATACGCCTGTTCGCCAGCTGAGTCCGACCTATCCCTCAGACTCCAAACATAGATTAAATAACTGACAGTATGATGGTAACTACTTCTAATCCAGCCGCTATTAAAACAATCTTTCTGACATATTAGAAGCTTTTGGGATATTTGTTCAGCCAGTATAGCTAATTGAATCACTGTGATATATGCCAACCAGATAATAATAATGTCAAGACAGCAGTTGTCGATCAAGCCGTCAAGAATTGATTAATCTGAGGGGTCCAAACTCTGGACCTTCCAGCTACAAGACGAGCTCTTGAACCATTAAGCCACTGAGACCCGATCCAACGGTCCATGAATTTCTGGTCCCACTGGCTGGATGGTCTCGTAACCTGAAGAGTCACAAACTGGGACGAAACAGCTGTCCAGTACTTCCTGACCTTCAACTACTTCTCTAACTTATGTCAGCTCTCGTCATCATATCTGTAACCAATTAAAATCCCCTGTAAATTTTTACACGAAATTTTGTCTAATTTCCAGATTTTGTTTTTCCCCATTCATTTTTTTACAGATATATTCTGTTGGTTATGATGAATTAAGCGTCCATTTGCCAAATTCAACATTGAAACGTCTGTTCGGCCAATTTAATCCAAATCAACATTTTGATTGGTTACTTAACTGTCTTAAGCGAACTGGTCATGCATCACGTATACCTAGTGATTATTTCACAATGCCACCGCTACCTCAATCCTCATCAATCTATCAAAGTTATCCACCGCCTCACCACCATCATCATCATCCCCTGTTGGGCAATGAATTCGTTGTACAACTTCACCTGTATCATAATGAAGAGTTAGATAATACAAAGAGTAATAATATTGTAACACTGCCTCGACGTAATAATACCAACATAACAGCAGCAGCAGCAGCAGATCTTTCTCACTTTCCTACTGCTTTTCATGGATCATTACGTGTTCCAGTGAAAAATCGACGATGTTCTGAAGATTCTATGTGTACAATTATGTCCTCTTCGACATTAGGAGGTCGAGCAGGGGGAGGAGAAGTTGGCAGTGGAACAGGTTCAGCAACACCAACAAATTCCCAGTTAGGCACAATGAATGGTGGTGGATGTATTCCAACAGCAGTAGTCGATGGTTTACAGACATCACCATTACCTCGACGTGGATTATTGGCTACATACAATAGCAACAACACTAATAATCGTCGTATGACTGATTCAATGTTTGAAACGTCATCAGCAGCATCACCTTTCAGTAATGGACGTATCCTGTATCGATCGGATCGTCATTTCTCTCAGTCTAGTAGTAGTATGAAAAATCGAGGCAATAGTAATAATAATAGTCTGACTAATCCTACTCTTATTACCTCATCATCACCATCATCGGCAAAAGAAGGCGATCGATTGTATGTAACAAATCCAGTATCAGAGACACGTTTATCTATATCAGAATTTATCACTCGAGTTGAGAGTGTTGGTTCCATTGGATTAATTGCTGAATTCGATGCATTATTTAAAGATTCACCGGTTAAAGGTGCTTGTACACGTTTCGCGTAAGTTTATTTTAGATAGGGAATTCTGCTGTGTATTTTCAATTTTTTTTGTAATGTGTCTTGCTACGATGCAACTCAACCCAAATAGCTGGTACCTTGCCTCTTTTATGGCTGTGAGACCTGGCCATTGAGAGCAGAAGACATGAAAAGATTAGCTGTCTTCGATCATAGGTGTCTGCGTTCTATCTCCCGCGTGAAGTGGTATGATAAGGTGAGCAATATTGAGGTTAGGCTTGGTCGAGTGCTAGGTAAGGCGGGGAAATCAATCGATGAGACTGTGAAATTACATCGACTGAGATGGTTAGGATATGTGCTACGTATGCCTAGTCATCGCCTTCCTCGACAATGGGCAATGTTAGCTGATATAGGGTCAGGCTGGAAAAGAGCTAGCGGCGGTCAAACGAAAACATGGCTTCACCAGTCAATGAAATCCACAACAGTTAGTCTAAGCCACGTAGGGAGATGTAGACTTCCTGACTGGTTGGGGTCCTCGGGACGGTAAAAACCAATGGCTGGAAACAATTGGTGACATGCCTCACAATCGTTCTCAATGGCTGGCGCAGATGCATCCACTCCTTGTGACTTATGATTTCCAATGAAACTGTTTTGTTCTTCGTTATTATTATTCCTTTGTCTCACACCTCTGTTTACTGTCTTTATTATGCATTTCTTCCCTTGCTTTGTGTGCTGAGTGTAGTGTGGCGACTTGAACTGGCGCACATTTGTGCAAAGTTCTTTGTCGAAAACCGACCGACCGCTGGTACCTTGACGTACAGTGGTAAGACTCACACATTCAGGTATCTCAATTACCCGACGTGTGACACTGGCTGGAAGTAATTTTCATGCAGGTCATACTGCACCAGAAAGGTTGTTTTTGGATAGTGGTCAGCATATCATAGTGTAAGTTATTACACTATATTGTGCATCTGAGGAAGAAGTAACGGTAGAAGAGAAGAGAGAGACTTGTTAAAGGAATGTTTTCATTGAACACTAATAACTAATGTGATGTGTCTAGTCCTTTCTTTGGTGCAGACGGAATTCTATCAGTCAGGTATTTGCAATGTGGGCACCATGTCACTAGGTAGCTCGCCATCACACTGCACATTGATTTGATGATATTAGATAGTTAGAGGCAATCGGCAGGAAGCCTTGCCTCACCTAGGTTTCGTGCAAGTTGGCACTCGTCAGCTCAGTGGTAACGTCTCTGACTGCAGTTAGCACTGGGTGACGCGGGTTCGAATCTCAGAAAGGACATGGGTTCCTTCAATGTTGCAGATACCCCTTTCTGACTGTTGAGAGCGAACTAGCACGAAACCTAGATCCAAGCCTTCCTGTGACCGGTTGCCTCTACTATCTAATATCATCAAAGGAATGTTTATTTGCAATGTGGTATATCGATCTAGCGAAACTAAGTAGACCTTATCTTCAACACACCAGTTGCACAGATCTTCCGTGTTGTGCTACTCCTGGCCTTCATGTTGTGTTTCTTTGTGTTCCTTTCACGTCGTCTCTCATATATTTCCACAACAACTCTGTATCATTTGCTCTCTCTCACATCAAATCTATCTCTCCCTGCTATTTGCTGTTTTTATGCCGATGAATGTCTCTTTATATACTACTGATAAATCTTACCAGTAACACACACCACAATATTTCTAGCGAATATGGATGTGACAGTAGTAAGATGCTCCCTTCAAACGACCAGCGAGCCAACTAGTATACGTTTCCTACTTGGAGTAGGTGGGAAGTCATAAAAGGTGGACCCCAAAAACTTTACATACCTAAGTACTCTGTGGCAGTCCGTAGCCACCAGGCAGACAGATAGACCTGAAGCAGTTGTCGTTTGCACTCTGCGGTCAAGCAATACTAATGCTCCTTCTGTTTCAGATATCCTAAGAAAAACTCAACTTTCAGGTTTTGAGCAACCGGGAAGTAGTAACCGCCTACACACTTCCACAAGCACAGTGTGTGGAGAACTGGGTGTAATTAAGTTATGTCGGCTGTATGAAGTTTAGATCACTTCGATCTAGTTAGCAAGCACGATTGTTTAATATGAGTGGTATTCAACCACTTATATCGGTCAAACCGGGGTTTATAACATAACGATTTATGATTTTTTTTGTCATCGTTGTTTTTTGATTCAAAACTCATCCCTTCTCTTCGTACTCTTCCTCTTCTTACAGACATGCTTCCAACAGACGTCGTAATCGTTATCTAGATGTTCCTTGCTTAGATTCAACTGGCATTGAACTGTCTGATAACACGTATATTCATGCTAATTGGGTAGATGGTTATCGATGTCCACGGGCGTATATTTTAGCACAAGGTAAGTGTTAGTAGTAGTGCCTTTGCTGTTGGTTGTGGTTGTTGACGATAACCAGAGTGGATTTTGTCTGCCAAGCTTTATGTATATATGTCATTGGTGAAAATCTTTCATATCTTTGTGACATTCATTATATTCTCACTGGATATAGAACATAGTGAGTGAAGCAGTAATATTATTACTGAATGATGTTTTCTTGCACAGTCTATTGTGCATAATTATATCACCAGTGGTAACTGCACAACTTTGAAACTTGAGTTTTATAGTTCTAATTCTTCTTTCTCATTTGTTGGTCAAGTACTAGAATTTTCCAGATGTCTGGGAAAGGTGTTGAATCATTCCTACTGCACATATTCTAAGTTTTACTTCGAACCACTGTACTTCGTGACAACCTTTGTTCCTTCTGATGGACAGCTGTCTGAACCTCGTGGCTTGAGATAGTGGAATTCTTGTTGTAGTGAGACAACCTGCTTGCCTCAGCTGCAAATACGTTAGAAAATGTCGTTGACGAAGCAATTCATTATTGACATGGCTTTAGATGAAATACCAGTGTCAGGGTGAACTTGACGTAGGACTTTGTAGATGTAGATGGCATAGCCATCCTTCTTCTTCTGGTCAACCTTTGGCAACTTAGCCTTGGATGTTTTTCTTCGCAGCTTTACCAGATACAACTTTCGGTAGCATAGCTGTAGAATGCTCGCCGACCATGCATTTGGTCCAGGGTTCGATTCCGGTCACCGACGCACTCCTTTACCTCGCTAAGCCAGTAATAAGACTGGTGAAGACGGAAGGTTGGGCATGAGACTGGCTAGCAACTCCATCCCGTAAAAATAAACACGATTGCTACCGAAACTTCAAGTTTCTAGCTTGAAGGTGCCCTATGTTCCACTGGGAACGTAAAGGAAATTAAATATTCTAAGTTGATTTGATGAATAAGGCTTCAATTATCAATATCTCCTTCCATCCTCTTATATTAGATTGTTACGTCGTATTGTGGGATTGTGTGCAACTACAAGCTGAACATTTCTCTAAATTTTTTCTCTTACAAGGGTTAATCTAGGTTTCGCTAGGTGTTTTTGTACTTCGCTAATCTGATTGTGACCTAGTTCTACTACTTTGACCTATATATTTGGCCTCACAGTCATTGCACAGGGTATTAGATTATTATTATTTCGTTTAATGGGCTCCATGGGATCCTTTAATCGACAAACTTTGACTCTAAGTGAGGTTTTGCGCTTGAGTGCCATATGTATTCCTGTCTTGTTAAGAATTCCCTACCGTCGTTATCGTTTAGTACAATTTTCATGCAGTGGTAACGAATGCTGAACAACGATCTTGTGGTCACTAAACTTCTGACAGAGCGTTTGGACAGTCTCATCGAATGTTCTGTCACCAGGTTTCTGGAGAGAATCAGGTTTCAGTTCTTATCCAACTCAGCTGCCCCCCCCCCAACTTCCTTAGTTAAGAGTCTAACTTTCTATGCATTGTCTTCGCTTGCAAAGCCCACTGTAAATAGGCCTTCGTGTCTGCAGAACCAAGTGTCGAATGTAACGTTTGCATCTGAGTTATACACAAATTCAGAAATACTGCTATCAATCAATATTGTCATGAGCTGAAGATGAATCATCAGGGGATGATATCCGTATACCAGCAAGCGTAAATGGGTCCATTTCTACTATGTATCAGTCACCATTTTTGTTATAACCGTTAATACACTTAGTAGGTGCACCAATAAACTTCCTACGTAGTCGATACGTGAGCCTGTTGTTCTAATCACTTTTAGCAACAACAACGATATGATAAGATACCACCGAAACCGCGACGCAAGAAGACAAAAAAAGAAAACAGACCGTAGATGCAGAGAGCTTTTATTGTCCTGTATCAACAGCGAAAAGGGTTGACAGCAATTGCGTAAAGATATGCTTTGGATGACCTTGAGAGACACTAATTACATTGCTAAGTTAAAACAGTCAACAACCAATAGGATTCCAAGGTCATAAGTGTGGAGGGGGGGATTGAACAACACTGTGGAGATAAATGTAGTATTTTAGGAAAATTAGGTCTACATAACATTTTCAGAGGTTCCCCGTTTGTATGAAAGTACTGCCGGTAGTTTAAATTCTGGGCTTGCATACCTCCCTCAACCTACATATGCCTGGTCAACGTTAGGATAGTACCTATTACCACCAGCTCTTATGTAATTGTCTCAATAGCTGAATGGCCAACGAGCTTGCCTCATAATCTGAAGACCTTGGGTTCGATCCCCGGTGTGGTGTGCGTACCTCTGAAGATTTCCCAAACTAGGAAACAAGAAACAATTGGTCAGTACTCGCTGGTTTGTGCGTCCGTGGTTCGACATTAGAATGGATACTTGTGGGCCACGCACATTCCTTGGGTTCGAATCCCGGTCAACGCAATTCTATTCTCGCCTACCCCCGTAGTAAACCCTTTGCGTAGGTGGCACAGCGGTTAGGACTCTCGCCGACCATGCACATGGTTCGGGGTTCGATCCCCTGCCGACGCACACCTGATATCAATGGTTGGCCTGCAAAATTGGGCTACCGATGTCGCATGCTGAAAATTCCATACTTGTACCGAAAATACTGTGTGGAATCAAGCGATAATCAAAATAAGGTGGGTTGGGCGTGAGACTGGCAATCATACCACGTCTACTAATGTAGTGTGATGCAGATCGATAGGAAATCAACATTTTAAGTCGATGGTTAGCTGTAGAGGTAGAAGTGTTTGTTCCTCAAATTTGGATCGCGTTTACGTTGTGGAAAGGAAACAATTTCATCGGACAGACAACGTGTTTAACCTTGGGATAGATACCAACCAACCAACCAAGACAATTTATTCTCGTTTGACCTAGTCGAACTTCAATTTGACTAAGAATGTATAAATATGGTGTATTTTCGCCTTAATAAAGGTCCGTTACCAAGTATCTTATCTTCTCATGTGACACAAAATCTTCAAAGGCTCAAAACTCGAAGCCGGATGTCCTACTCGGGACTCAAGGAATGAAGAAAAAAGCTCACAAAATAAGTTTTCTGTTCACACATGTACAGAAAAGATAGAGGAGATGAAGATAGCTAACCAACCAACCAACCAACAGCAACAACAATCGGCACCAATCACCATCAACGGGAGAAACTTGAAAGAGGTAACTTCCTTCACCTACCTAGGAAGCATTGTCTGAACCTCAGACGGAACGGATGAAGATGTCAAAGCCAGCCAGAATCAGAAAAGCAAGGTACACCTTCAACACTCTGAAATCGATTTGGAAATCTTCTGCACTCAGAAAACAGGACAAGATTGGGATTCTCAACAGCAACGTTATATCAGTCAGTTCTTCTATATGGATCAGAAACTTGTCTCAAGCGTCACGGAGAGCATCTCCAACAGCCTGTTGTAGACTTCTACCAACACCTGCCTTCGTTCCACTTTGAAGTTCAAATGACCAGAAAGAATCATCAACAAGAAACTATGGGAATAAACTAACCAAGATCTTGCCGCCTAACCGTCGAATGATATCACACGCCACCCTAACGACGAGCTATACATGAGTCCTAAGGTGATATCGAAGAGATCATGTGGGGAGGAGGAGATGAGAGAATATGCGCAATCGTGCGGCCAGCTACAGAGGATCGCAGAGAATAGGAAAAACGGAGACGTGCTGTTGAAGTCCTATATTCCACTAGGAACCCAACGGAGCAATAATAATAATATAGTAATGCATATGCAGCCTAGCAAATGTGCATTTTGTTCAAAGTAGTAGTAACTGCCTTCTTGTATTTTCTACAAAATCGAGATCATTATAATAAAAATGTCATTAATAGACTTTGGCAGCAGCCGAATCTTCTTATAAACATCTTAAGCAAGATTGTTGTTTGGAAAAAAAAAACTTCAAATTTCTAGTAGATAGATTGGCTTACCGCTACTCTCTTATCACATTAATTAATTACCTTATTTGCTTTTTGAAAACTTGTAATACACTTGCATATGTTATACAGACAATCAGAAAACAAATGGCGTTAGATAGACAGACACGTATGCACACAGACACACACACTCAGATAGGTAGAGAGGTAGATATATAGATAGATAGATGCAAAGAGAAGCCGAATTCTTCTGTCTGATATATATTTTAAACAAAAGTCTTAGTTAAGGTCATAATTTCCTTGATAGAGTGATTGATTGACTGATTGATTAATTGATTAAAGCTCCTTTTTTGAGTTTTTAAATATAAATTATTAATCCCGCCACTGTTGTTGTTGTTGTTTAAAGGAGTATTCCGTTTCTACCTTTGGCTGACTATTAGCATTTGGTAGCAGAAATAGGCTTAATCATATATTACACCCTTTATTCTTCATTTTTCAAAATTCCCTCCATGTGTCAATCATTGCAGTAAAACAAAGAGAGAAAATGAAACTTCTAGGGTTCAATTATCATTTATTTATTTATTTATTCAATATTGTACATATTAAATCATGCAGAGTTTCATAATAACAAAATTGTTCACTTACGCGTTAACATTGTCTGTTTACTTATGTGTGAATCTCTTCGTGTGTGTGTGTGTGTTTGCGCGCGCTAATGTGTATTTCTCCCATCCACTTATTTTAAAATCATGTTCAATTGTATCAATGGTTTAAGTTCAATACAATGTAAAAAGCAAAACAATTGAAATAAAGATGTAGAATGAAAAAACAGAATAATAACAAAACAACAATAATAATCTGTGAAACAGATGATTGAAAATACAATTCTTGGAATAGATGTTTCGCCCAAAATATATTGGCTTCATCAACTGAATGTATTAAATAGAAATGATGTTTTTCTATTCGATAGCAGAATAGCTCGAATTGGTAAAATTATCCACTTTAACGGTAAAATATGTAACAACTAGCTGGTACAAATTAGTCGTATTCTTTATTTAAGTCACTTTTGTTTCTCCTTTGGTTGAATGGGACTGAAACATTCGACCTCTCTTGTGAAATGTTGGC